TCGGTCACATGCAATAAATTCTGGCATTTTAATGGAAACATTACAGCAAAAATAGTTAACAATCTGCTTTAATTTCAAAACCAATTTTCCCCTTCATACAGTAAGGCAGTATCTTGGTAAAATGTGCAAAACGCGTTGGCATTTAATTATGATGGCAATTTGTTCTGAAGCAAGGTTAACCGGGCTGTCAGTATTCTGGATAAAGGGGTTGGGGGCTTGGCAGAGGGGGAGGGTAGCAGTGGCTTGGTGTCTGGGTCCTGAATACCATGCAGACCACAGTGGAATCAGGAGCCCTGGCCTATTAGCTGATGAAGGTCCAAATCAGTGGGAGGCTGGGTGTTCCTGGGAGCACAGGAGCAGCCTGTGCGAACCAATGGGTCCGTCCCTGTGCCAGACTGAGAGACGAGGAAACCATCTGGGAATCATTTCTTCATGTCTCTCTGCTGGATCCAATCCATTCCCCAATTTATTCCTGCAACAACTATTTGAATCCCATTGCACTGGTGCTGGAGATACAAAGGTGAACAAAAATAGGCAGGATTCCTGTCTTAGGGAGGTTAAAGGGAAACTGAGGCCCAGTGCATGAAATTCATGCACGGATAGGGTTCCTAGGCCTGGCCGGTGATCAGGGCTGATCAGGTTCCCCGCCTCCCCGCCTCCCACCTCCTCCTTCCCTTGCTCCCTCAGCTCCCTGCTGCTGCCCCACTGGTCACCCTCCATGTTCTGTGCTGCCCCCTGGTAGTCAGCACACATCATAGTGAGCGATTGAACTCCCATTCTCCCAGTCAAACTCCCTAGAGGATGCTTTGCATATTTTATATATATATAAATAATATAAAGACATAAATCAAAGGATGATGCACAGATAAGTACAAGGATAACTGAGCCAATGGCTTTGATGGAAGGTCCTTGGTGCCAGGTGACCGTGTTAGAGGTGCATTGGGTGTGGTATGGGCAGTGGTGGTGGTAGCATGGAAGGCCTTGCTGGGAAGCTCACTCTGCTGGAACTTGGCGGGGAGGGTGACATGGTGGGGATTGTCCCAGGTACAAGGACAAGTGCACACAGACCCTGGAGGGAGTGTTGCATGCTAGGCCTGAGGAGCTCAAGGTGACTCAGGGTGACTGAAGAGCAGATAGCACAAGGCTCTCAAGTCTAGCGTCAGTGGTTCCTGAAGCTGCCCTGGGCGCTGGTGTCTGGTAGACTCTTAAGTGTTCCACCCACCAACCACATTGCTTCCAACACTCACTTCCCCACGTGATTGCTGCGAGTCCTGGGACCACTCAACTAGCCTCACTTAATAGCCTGATGCTTGAAATGGCAGGGTCCCAACTCCCAAGGTACCATTCACCTCCAGGATATCTGATTCCTCAGAGTGCTGTGCTGGGCTGATCTGCCTGCATATCCTGGATCACTGAGGACTTTGTTAAGTAATGTTCATTGCCATGGTCTCTGGTCTTTCTCAGGCAGGAAGAGTTCATTCTCTTATCACTACCACTTTTTGCCTGGAGAAAATCTTAAGCCTGTTTCTGAAAACCCACTGCAGCCCCATGAAGGCATCTTCCGTCCTCTTTCTCAATGTACTTCAATCAACAAAAGAGTGAATACACACTTATTGAGCACCTGTTGTGTGCCCTCCCTTGTGCTTGGGATTCAAATAGTTGTTGCAGGAATAAACTTATTGAGCACCTGTTGTGTGCCCTCCCTTTCACCCACTTAGTTTTTAGACACCCTTGTAAGGCAAAGGTTATGTTCAGTTTTATAAGAATCAGAGGCTTACTGAGGGCTGAGGTTAACTTTCCTAAGGTCACCTGGCAAAAAGAAGGTCGCAAAATATCAAACCCATGTGTCAAGACTTCTGACTCTATGTCCAGTCCCCCACCCCACAAATTGGTAAATAAGCTGGTTTTAGAGGGCTCGGGGTGGGGGAGGGAGAAGAGGGAGTTTAATAACATGATGGGAAAGTATTTTTCTTTTCAATTCTCTCTCGAACATCCCGATCAATCAAGTAGAAAACATGTTTGGTGTCCAAATGGCTTTAGCACATGTTGAAGGTTTGCTAACTCCCTTAACAAAGAGAGCTGGTCTCAGGCTTGGCACTTTCAACACTCAACAGTCTCTAACAAGAATTTAATAAAATTATTTTTATTTCATCCTCTATATTTGGAACATAATTGCTTTTCTTTGTGGTGGTGTTATAAAGTTGCCTTTTAAGGAAGAAAATTACAGGAAAAATAACGAAAAATATTGACTAAATTATAGGTCTGGTATGTGGATATAATAATGATAAAAACATGAATGCGTGTTCATCCAAATGAGCTGGGAAGTGTCCTGTTCATTCACTCTGCCTCCCTTGTTCCCAGGACACATGGTGTGTCACCATTATGGCCCTAAATTCTGAATCTGTTCTTTGTTTTCCTGAAAAACATATAGAAGAGGTTGTAACAAAAACTATCCCTATCATTAGGACCATTGAGGTATCAATCTTCTTTTTAAAAAATATATTTTTATTGATTTCAGAGAGGAAGGGAGAGGGAGAGAGAGATAGAAACACCCATGATAAGAGAATCATTGATTGGCTGCCTCCTGCACACCCCACACCAGGGACCAAGCCCACAACAGGGGCATGTGCCCTGATTGGCAATCTAACTATGACTTTCTGGTTCATAGATTGATGCTCAGCCACTGAGCCACGCCTGCTGGGCAGGGATCATCTTTCTTAAGTTTAAATTAACCCAAGCTAGTAATGGAGTCTTAAAACCTAGGAAAAATATGTAAGTTTATTGCAAAAGATAATATCCCATTTAAAATAGTTTAGAAATTTACAAAAACTTACATTATACATTGTTTTTAAGAAGGGGCTCTACAGATGAGCTGGTATTAAGTTCCAACTATAGCGGGTACACATTTTTTCTTAACTACAGAGAAAGCAGCTACATAAACTCCAGCAATTTAAGTTAATGTATCAGTCTTTTCCCCTTCAATTTTATAAAAGTAATCTTGGCTAAATTAATCTCTCTCTGTAAAACCATATAACCTCAAGTACAGCATTTTTGCAGATTATCATGGTAGATGTTACATAATATTTTACAAAGATGTGATTTTCACATGAGTAGATAGGTATAGAGTTTTGGTCTATGTATATGTGTGGGTGTTTTTTTTTTTTTTTTTTAAAAAAAACAGAGATGATCATTTTTATTAGCAGGAAGGTGTTTACTGAATCCCTTTTCCTCATAATGATTTTAAATGTTCAATTTCCAGAAGAGACCTCCTTCCCAGTTTCAGGTTGGTGGCCCCAGCAATGCTGTGTTGTGCTTTGGTATAGATTCATTACAGTCCCATTTGGTTGTGTTTTTAGAAATGTCAACATTTCCTACCCCAATTTCATTTTTCAGTTGAGGGTTTATCTGATATCTCCAACTAAACATAAGTATATTAGAACGTGCGCTTTTTAATTACCCAAGGGTTGGGTTCTACTCTGAGAGAATGGCCTTAAACACCTCTTCATCAATCTGGGCTAAGTTTGGCAAATGAGCCAGCTCAGCTCTGGGTCATTCTGCTCATTTGATGTTGGACCATGCACAGAGCTTATAAAGTGGGTCGAGTAGGTGTTGATATCTCCATTTCAGAATGGACAAACAGGCCCTGACATTTTAAGCAGTTTATTAAAGGATAGTGGACTAGGCTATTCTGTTGCCTGGGTCTCTTAATTCCTGAAACAGGATTATTTTCATGCTGCCCAAGATTATAAATTAATTTGAAAATTAGTGAAAGCAAAGCGAATTAAGATGGAAGCTCTACTACAAGATAAAATTACATAAGAGATCCCACATGATTTTGCTTTATTGGGTTATCCTCGATGCTGTTCTTTTCCATTGTTGGGGCCAACTGAGAGTTGATTGTGTGGATACAGAAAGATCTGTGGCTTTCAGCCAGTGGGAGCATATCTTATTGAAATGTGGCTTCCTCCGTATGACAAGTGTATTTATCTTAATTCCCACTTAACATTATGGATGCCGGTCTCACTTTCTGGGTTTAAACATTACACTAGAAACAGAACAAGAACATCTTGAATGACATTCCAAGACTTAAATAGTGCAAGCTGAGGTTCCTTGCCAAATTTTCCCCTCACTCTCGCTGAAAAAGCTTGCACACTGCAGCGCTGTGGCAGGAGCAGGTGCAGCTGTCGGAGTGGTTTGCTTCATTCGTCTCAATTTGCAGTGGGGGTACGTTCATCCCAGACTCTAACTCAGACACCTGATCTTGAGCAAAGGGGGGTATGAAATGCCTTCTTCATTGAATGCCATGTTGAGCTTTAGGATCCCTTTTCTAAGCAGCATCCATCCGAGCACAGGCTGGTAGAGAATTTAAGGAGAACCTACCCCTCATCCCCCAAAGTATGTAGAAGTTACTTAATTAGATTATGTTAGTACTTTGTTCAGCCATGCAGGTTTGACTGGACCCACATGTATATGGGTCTTGTCAAAAGAATGAGCCAGACTTTAAAAGAATTCAGACTTTGGGAAGGGAAGGTCTTTAATACTAAAATGGAAAAAAATATATATCCCTCCTCCTGCTGCTTCTTCAATCAGGTGATCATTGAAGGGATCACCAGGAAGGGAGATTATATAGATTAATATACTTAACAACCTATCTACAAAGCTATTGCAGAGATGAATGGGTGAGAACCAGTGTTGTGTTTTATCTTAGTCTTATTTATGTTACTGGTCAGATGAAACAGACAGGTTGCTGGATTTCATGATCTTACTAAATGTTGCAGGGAAATCAACTGTGAAATCTTAACGTTCAAACCAAATCCCATGTATTTTCCAGGTGGTCTCATGCCCCAGGCTGAGGAGCATGGTGGCCTAAGGTGGGCCCTGGAGCTACAACTGCAGGAGAGCCACACCAAGTTCCTTATCCCCTGCAGTGACCTTACTCTGCCACAGACTGGAAGGCCCCCGCAGCATGAGATGACAGATTCTTAATTTGGGGTCAAGGGGCTATTTTAAAATGAAAATGACCCAGCCCACCAGGCGCTCTTGCATTTCTGCCCTGCGCATTTCTGTCACGCTATGTACGCCAATATCTTAGAAAACGGCCAGTGTATGTAACTGATCTTTCCTGTTGTATCAGTTTCTAGCTCTCCTCTAACTTCCTGCTCTACATAACATTTCTTTTTTTTTTTTTTCGGATGACAAACCAAGGATGAGAAGGAAGTGCTTAGCATCATAGAGTTGTTGGCGAGTCAATGGGGACTTTGTTCAGGGTGGGAACCTAGACTCGCAAACCAGGATTGTGGCCTAGTCGTGTGTGATGGGGAACTAGGCAAGTGGTCACTCTAGGGTCCGTGAAGCCCTCAGCAAACAGTGGCACTCATTCAGGTGAGGTTGGTGGTCAGGGGTCCCGCAGCAGCTAAACCAGCCCCGAGTCTTTCCGGTTTCACAGGTTGAGTGGCTCTCGGTCCGGGGCCTTTGCTAAGAAGCAGAGACCTGAGGGCAGTGGTCCCCATCTCAGGGAGGTCTTGGGGAAGGGCAGAGTGCATGGTCCCAACAAGCTCAGATCCACCAGAAGCATTTCTTCTTCACCTTCTTGGTTTTCCGCCTTAAGTCCTGTTTCTCAGGAACAGGGGGTTCTGCTGTGGACTTTGGTGGGGGACATGGCTCCTCAACTGGTTCTGCTTCCTCCAGACTCTGTAGAACTTCATGGAACCTGCCTTCCTGCTGCCGAAAATCATATTCTACACTGAAAAACACAGGACAAGGAAGGACAGTAAATTCAAGTCAGCACATATGGCTTTAGCATCACCAAGGGCCCAACTGATATGGAAGAGCATGGCCTTTGACATCTGGTCCCAGATGCTTAGGTACCTACTGGCTATATGACCTTGGAAAAATTGTGCCATCTCCCATCCATCCATCCATCCATCCATCCATCCACCCATCCATCCAACCATCCATCCTTCTCATGGTTCAACACTGTGCTCAGTTATGGGACACAACAAGACAGACAGACAGACATGGACACTGCTCTTGTGGATCTTACTTCTCAGTGTGTGAGACAGATGGTTAAACTAACAATTGCTTTTAAAATATGCCTTGTATTTATCTCAACTATGCCTACTTTCCTGCTCTTTATCCATATACCTCTACCAAATGATAAAAGCATACACAAAAACCAGCTATCTTTTTCTCCTTATATGTGACATTTCTCTGCCTTCATAATTTGAATAAACAATGGCAACAACAAACCACCTGAATTTGTCAAGACTCACAGCAGTGTCCTAATATCAATTGGAAAAAAGAATGCTGTGGGTGAATCCAGAATGTGGACAGAACTGGCAGGCCCGGGGAGAGAAGAGCCAGGAGACAGAATGAAACTGTCTCATCATCACGATTTAAAGAGCAGCCCAATATAGAGGATAGAACAAGAGCTTCGAGTAGAACACTCCCAAGTTTGAACAAGGTTATACCACTCACCGGCTAGGTGACCTTGGACAAGTTGCTTCTCTTTCAGAGACTCAGTTGAAAGTGGGGGTTATAAAGCTCTCTCACTGGACAGTTGTACAGATGGGACACAATGACAGGTGAAATGTCTTCACGTAGGATATGGTCTCTGCCCACTCCATTCTTCACTAAGTCTTTTGTCTTCCTATCTTATGGGCTGAATGTCTCTTCACTCATACCTGAAGCTCTTCAGTAATTGTATACCTTGCCAGCATTATCACTCTTCACCCCTCCCCTCCATGTACATTCAGGAAAGAATACATTCTATGTTTCTATGGAAACACCACAGGATTGCCTTATAATCATTGGGACTTAGAGCTCTCCCCCACCCCTCTTGCAACTGCCCCCACTGATTTTGACAATTGGAAGGAGATTGAAAGTAACTTCTTTTCAAGGCCAGGCAAAAAGCAGAGCATAGAGAAGTGTGTGAACTTAGGAAAGAAATTGATTAATGTTTTTTTTTAGGCCAAAGCAATTTATTAACATAAAGGAAAATTGTCACTTTCCTTCTTATTCTTGACAAACTATTCTTTAGTTTGGATAAATGTATAGGGTCTCATCTCTTTTCATCTTGTCACTGGATGGAGGAAAGGAGATACCCTTCAACTTCCTTTTTAGCCAACTCACACCATATTCAGCGACCTCTTGATAAGGGGAATAAATTGTCTACATGGTGAGAAGTCAAGGAGAGGGTTGTTTGTAGATTCTAGGGAATGCCGTCTGCCTTGGGTTTGGTATCAAGGTGAACACCAGTGACTTTTTAAACCTTGCTTCCCCTTCTCTTCTTCTCTTAATTTCCCTCCCAGCCCACCCTTACCACCTCCTGCCACCCATATTCTGTACAGATGAAGAGGAGTGTCGAGGGCTTAGTTTGCAGAGCTCTGGCTCACAGTGGGGGCCAAGAAATTGCTACAGTACAGAATTCAGGCCTGGGTCCATTGAGGTGTGGAGCAGTCGAGGTCAGTGCGGTTGGTCCAGTGAGAATATCTGACACCTGGTTCAGGCTGCCCCGGTCATTGTCTAAGGGACTTGGGGCCCTGCCCATGTAATCTGTCCGGGTGTGGTACTGCATTGCTTTGGAAAGTGAGCTGTCTGTCTGCCAGGAATGGGAGAGAGCTTTCAGGTCTCCCTCGGGAGAGCACCTCACTAGTCCAGCTCACAGATCAATGCCCCAGCCACCAGGCCAGGTGAAAAGCACAGGGATGTTTTTCTAGGAAATCGGAAGCAGTGGGAAGCCTAAGTCATAACTTGTTGGGAAGAAGAAATAGTGAGAAGCAAACAGTAGATGGACACATTAGCACATGCGCAGACAACAGAGCCTGGGTCTGGATGCAGCAGCTTGGCTGGGCAAATCGAAGTTAGGGGAGCCAGAAAGAGGTGCAAGCTTATATAGAAACAGATGAATAATAGGAACCCCTTACTTTTGAGTAGCACTTGCAAATTGCAGACCCTTCAGATCTGTGTTTTCGTTTTATCCTCATGATAGCCCAGGAAAATGGGAAAATTGTCCCCATTGACAAACAAGTTGGCATGGAGAAGTCACACTGTAAGTTATGAATGGAATATAAGCCTGGTTTCCAGACTCTTAGTCCTCTGTTTTTCCTAAAGAGCGATGAGATGTTTTAGCCCAGGGACTGGCTACTACCCAGGGACTTAATCTAAGAAGAAGAAATAACAGAAGAGTACCTGGACCATGTTAGGTGAGGACGCATGGCAATTCAAATTAATAATAATAAAAAGAAGGAGATGAAGGAGGGGGAAGAGGGAAGGTGAAAGGAAAAGGAGAAGAAAAAAGAGAATGAGGAGGAGGAGGAGGTAGAGGAAGAGGAAGAGGAGGACTGTCATCCGTGCAGTGAAATCTACATTGTAGACTCTGCACTGCAAGTTTAGTGATGCCCACATGCCTCATGTAATTCTCATGGCCCCCTTAGATACTATCTTCACTCCATAAATGAGGAAACCGAGGCAAGGGCGGGGCCCGGCCACACACTAGTAAACGACAGAGCCAGGATTTGAACCGACATTGACCCTGAAGCTGGTGCACTAAAACAGACTGGACTGAGATCCTGGCCATCAAATGTGTGTGGGGTGGGGGTGCCGAGGTGGTGGTGACCAAAGCCTGGTGCATGACCGCCCAGTCCCCTGTGGAACCAGCCCACCCTGCAATGGTGTTTCCAGCTTGCAGGGCAATGCTGGTGGGAAGCTGCGTACCCAGAGAAGATGGGCACCCCCTTAGCAGGCAGCAAACTCAAAGTAATACGTGGGCTCAGCCGTCGTCTTTGTCTTTGGTGTGGTTGGCTGCTGAGGGCTGCAGGGGGCCCTGTGCCCTTCTTTCTCAGCAGGGGGGCAGGGCTGGTCTTTTATTAAAGAGAAAGGGACAAACCCCTGCCACACACCACACACTCCACACAGGTTGGCTGAGAAACGAATGGTCCACGACACCTCCCTGAAGGTGGAGCATCCTCCAGGTCCCTCTCTACCTCCTCCCTCTGCGAGGCTTTCTGTGGCTCCTGGCACACAGAGCTGGTGACCTCCCACAAGTTTCTTCTCTAAAGAATGAGCTGGCGGCATCAGTGAGCTCAGCGAGGGCAGTTTGGTTCCTATCTCCTTGGATAATCAAGTCACTTTCTTTGGGGAAGGATCCCAGCCTTGGAACGTAGGAGCTTTAGTTAGTCTCACTGCCTCCCTTCACCCCCGTCCCCTGCCCCCGTTCCGAAACTTTCTCCTAATGACCAGTTTGCTTGTTATTTATAGGGTGTAATTTTAAGCTTCACAACTTGCAGCCATTTCAAGTTGGCAAGGGCACCCCTTCCCCTAGGGCAGTGGTCGGCAAACTGCGGCTCGGCAAACAGCGGCTCGCGAGACACATGAGGCTCTTTGGCCCCTTATGTGTGGCTCTTCCACAAAATACCGACTTCTGTGCATAGGCCACGAAGTTTCAATCGCACTGTACGTGCGCGCCCACACATGGTATTTTGTGGAAGAGCCACACTCAAGGGGCCAAAGAGCTGCATGTGGCTTGCGAGCCGCAGTTTGCCAACCACGGCCCTAGGGCATGTGTCTGCTGAACAGTCTCAGGGAGTCGCAGGTTCTCCTCTGGGCACTTGAACACGAGCTGCAAAAATCATCACGCTGATCGCTAATTGAGAGAACCCTGCGCTCTGGGTTCTGTGGCTGTGGGACGAGGAGGTCTTCCCGTTAAGCCCTCAGCAAGGACAGGTTCGCTCAGAGAACTTGAGCACATATATTCAGTGATTATGCCAGGTCCCAGGTAAGAGGGGAAGGGACAGGAAAATCTCCCGAAAGCAGGACCTGTTTCAGCCCCAGCTCTGTTGGATCTTGGACAAGTCACAGAACCTCTCTGAGTCTTCATTTCCTCATCTGTAAAATGGGACTAACAGCCACACTCGTACATTAGGGTTGTTGGGAGTCTGAGAGGAGATGCTGTGTTTAGCAAACTGCCTGGCTCAGGGCCTGGTAGGACAAGTGGTAATGATTGTTACATGTAATTGACAGAGAAATAAAGATTAGGTCATTCTGTGGTCAACCATGGCCTCTGTGCCAGCAGCCATCGTTTGTTATTCCTGGGAAATTCTCAGCTTGCTTGATTTTATATTTATGGCATGTTTCAGCCTCTTTAGCTATTAATGCATTAAAATAGGTTTCATTTTTATTGCAGATAAATTGCTGATGCTGTAAATCCTCCTCCTTTCCCCTTACACTCTGGGGAGAAGGAAGGGATAACGTGCTGCTGAGAGAAACAGGGACCAGAGGCAAATATCTTGGGGATCAACCATTTGGGGGCTCAGAGAAATTTCCACGTGTACCCCAGACTCTATGCCTGTTCTCTAAAGAGACAGCTTGAGCTATGTCTGGTGGTGGTTATGTAGGGAGGCTGGTTGGTATTGCTATGATGTGCAAGGTCCAGCCTTTGAAGTGAATGCTGCTCGGTCCATGTTGAAATGTGATGAGAGCCGCAAATGTGTCTGTGATTACTAGAAAGAACAGATAGGCTGTGTGCTTTGTGGGTGTTTTTCACTGGGACTTCCATTTTTGGCCAAAATGAGGACTGTGACTGGAAGACCCAGCTCTTGCAGTCACCGGGCTCCATGCTGGGAGAGAATCCTAAGCAGACCAAAGGAAAATACTAAATAATTGAAGTGGAAAGTTGGTTGCTAAACCTACAGGCCTGGGTGCATATTACATTTCTAGTGAAATACCTTGTTCTCTGGTTAGCTAATGAATAGCTTTAAGTGGCAAGCAAGGACCTTTCAACCTCTCCCTCCATCCATTAAAAATGCTAAGTTTGCAGCATACTCTTTATTTCCATTTCCTAAGTAACATGTTTGGATGGTAGATGAAATTTTTTTCTGAGAAAGGCTTTCTATTCTCTCCCCTTAAATCATTTGATGCATTTTACAACTTAAACCAAGAAGATTTCCTTCCTGGGAGCTATGTCCAGAATATAAATGCATAATTGGTGTAGTCAAAGTCCTCCAAAGAGGCTCAGCAATGATTGTGAGAGTGAACTTGAAGATGAAGTACAGGGAGATATGGCTGGAGGAACAGGGGGTGGAGAGGGGGAAGGAGGAGGGATGTGGCTTGGGGAGAATCGTGCTTTTGAGAAGAGGAAAGGGAGCTGATTCCTCAGGGCTCCATTTCTCAAACTTCAATCATTCGTTCACTATCTTCATGGTTTTTGTGAAACTATTGACTTAATGCTTTTCTTCCTTAAATCCGTTTTCTATTTAAACTTCAAAACAGGTATATAACATAAGCAATACCACTTTTGAAAATGGAGACATGCATCATTTACAATGAATATTTAGGGGGACTTGTTTTAAAAGTTAAAAGCTTCAATAAAAATTTTTTAAATGATTACATTCTGGCTAGATACTGTTGCTTGCCTATGGCTATGAGCCTGAGACCTACTCTGCCTGGGCAAAGAAGCGTGATCAATAAGCATAGGAAAGCTTTTGAAGACATTCTAGCACCAACTTCGATTTTTCCCTCATGGTAATCACAAGGGTGGAAATAAACTTGGAAAGAGAACAGCCTTCTCACTCGGTAATCCAGTATTATTTTATCTTAGGTACCATAGGTAGCTTTCACTCAACCCGTTGAGAAACTTGTCTTAGAATCAATGCTAAGGATCGGTGAGGAGTGTGACTGGAGACTAAATAGCCCGGAACCAGCTTTAACAGCAACATCTCCAGGGAGAAAGACCTGGCAGGCAATGTGTCCTGAGCCCGTGTGCTTTACGTACAGTGACGTGCACTGGGCCCATCCACCATCAGGAGAGGGACCAAGCCGAACAAGGCCCAAGGATGAGCATTGCACATCACTTATTCATTAGATGTAAGATCTGACTTTACAGGACACAACACAGGGTTTGCAGTCGTTTGAAATGTTTTAAAAAAATGACAACTCTCATCTTCCCACTGTTACTATGATGGGGATGTTTGATCTCTTTGCTTTCATCAAATTAATTGCCTGTTCCTTCGCAATGGTTTAGATACAAGGGTACAGATACTGTCTGTGAGGATAGACTGGCTCTGAATGGTGATGAGCAGTGGATATACACAGTGGCTGCTCCTCTTGGAAAACTGGGAAGGGACGTGTGCATGAAGGTTTACTAACCTTTCCAGGGGTGTAGATTAATTTCGACTGTTTGCTGGGGATGTTTGAAGTAGCTACAGGAAAATGCAAACATTCTCAGACTTGTGGGAAGGTCATAGTGTAGCCAAATATTGCCACTTTTAATTGAGCACAGAACACCCAAATGTCGGGACTGAAGGGGACCAGAGGGAGCATCTAATTAAAGGGCCTCATTGTTCAGATGAGGTAACTCAGGGGTCAGAAATGATCTGCCCACGGCCAGGCCATGAAACTCACAGTAGCCTGGGCAACAGCCACTTATCCTTTCCATTTACATAAGCGAAATAAAAAGTCATCTTAAGGTAACAGAAAACACATCATCTGGCGGAGGAAGAAAAGAGACTATGCAAAATTTGAATGGAGATTAGTTAAACGTAATTATTGTTTATGATGAATAGATTTTTTTTGTCCTGCCTAGCTGTCTAGACATTTAATAATTTTTGTCTTCCTAGAGCTTAGAACATTTGCTTAAGATAGATGTTAAAAAAAAGGAGCAAAAAAGTGGCAATGGATGAGCCTGCCTACTTATTCTTTCCAATGTCCCCTGCCTTTTCCAGGGGAGTTTTTGGAGGGGATGTTTCACACCGAGGTAAAGGGCATTTTCTGTGCTCGCTCCTGAAGATTCTGCCATTTGGTGAAAATATGTAGTTCTGAGGCTACTGGGTGGAAGGAATTGACATTTCTATGAAAGAAATGCCCAAGGCCCTGCCTAAGTGTAGGGGCCTTCTGACTTCCAGGCCTCACATCTAAAATCTTGGGATTCTGCTGGAGAGAATGAGAAGAATTTCAAAGAAGACACAGGCAACCCAATTGGGCTGCCCTTTTCATCCGAGAGAAACGTAATAGAGAAAGCAAAACCATACACTTTTGACAAAATTAGATGTCATCAACTCGAATGACTGCTTTTGACCACATTTCCACCAGGCCACTGAAATGGGCTTCCCGCTCAGGGGGCATTGATCATTCTAGTAATAATGGTATTAAGGCCTTGGATTCGTACAGAGCTCTGCAGTCACAAAAGGCACTCACATATATTACCCCGTCTGCTCCTTGTGGCAACTCTGTACAGGGATAAGAGTCCCCACCCTCTGGATGAGGAGGGTGGGGAGTGAGCCCCAGACAGGTTAGCAGACAGCTGACTTGGGGGTTTTGACTGCTCTCACTATTATATGATGCTTTCCTTCTATTACTTATAAAAACCCACTTTATTGCAGCAGCCTTTTCCCGCTGCTGGAAGGAAATGATGTGCTTAGAAATGCAAAGCGCTTAGCATGTTTTTTGACGAATAGTAAGTGCTTGGCCTGTGATAGCTGCTGTTGAGGAAGAGGCATTGAGGTGCAATAACCAGGACCACAGGGTTTGGGGTCAGAAAGGTCTGGACTTGAGTCCTGAGCCTGAGCCCTTCTCTGAAAATGCTGTCTGTGAGCCGGCTCACGGGGCTTAACTTCCCCAAGGACATGAATGCCTACCTCATAAGGTGAAAGTTTGAAACGAGATGCCAATGTGCACGCAGAGCTCGGTAAGGTGCCAGCACTCAGCGTTCAGTAAGTGTAGGATCATTATCAAAAGGATGTGCTCAGAGGCCTTATGGTAAGAAAGCAAAGCCATGCCTGCCTTAGAACCAGATGTTAACGTCTCACAGTTAAACACCTTGATATTTAAGTCTCGGGCATTGAAAGGCCTCCTGTCTTTGCCTCTCTCTTGACTTTCTGCCTCTAAGAGAGTTTACTAGAAGGTTCTGTGGACCCGTAGCTTCTGCACGCCACAGCCGGCCTCCGCTGTGGCCAGGTACCTGTATATGATGCACGCCGTGTTCTGGCAGGTGCTGCAATTGTTGAGATCTTGGCCGGTTCGATAAAAGTTGCGCCTGCAAGATAGAGCATTTGCTGGGTAAATCTGTGGGCAAAAGTCCCAGGGGATGCACGCATCCTACCAACTCCTTCCCTCAGTGTGGCACTGCCCCTCCCATTGAGAGCCGTGCCCTGAATCCGAGTGACCATTACAAATACACAAGGAGCCATGATAATGGGGCCTCGTGTTTCCAGAGGGTTTATACATGTTTATGCGCTTTCAAATCTGTGGGTTTCCTCATGCTGACAACAATCCCAGGGATGAGTCGGCTCTTCTTCACCCCTCGTGACAGAAGGGACACTGCGGGACTTCGCAAAGAGTGGAGGGAGGTTGTGAAAACTCCCGACCCCTTAGTCCGGTGCGTCTCTCTCTGGGCCACCCCAGTGCTGTTCTCTCACAAAGCAACGCTGACTCTGATTCCTACCAGCAAATGTCACTTAATTTCCTCAGCTCTCTCCTTCCCTTGTGTGGGTGAGCTTCACCATTCCTTCCTCTCAGTCTTCAGGGAGCACATTTTCGAGGGACGAACACGTCACACCTAAATAAACAACTGCCTTCCCCTGCCCAGGCTGGTTCTGAGTCACCCAGGAAAGCACCATGTGCCTTTTTCTCTCTGCAGAACTGTGATCTCATTGCAGTTTCTGCCAACTTGGTCAGCGATGGCCTGGCCCACACCCTGAGACTGGTCAGTGGGGGACAAGGTCAACAGGAAGCTTGGTGGCCACCTCGAGTCCTTTGTGACAAACACACAAATAACCAAAATCCTTTGCAAATACAGTGACTGGCTTCGAGGCTAGGGTGGGGGCAGTACCTGTGTGCTATCACTTCCCCCCACCATTTATCAACTGGACCCACATCTTACAATCCTTTTAGGCCTGGCTGCTTCCCCGCTCCCTTACCTCTAGTCTGTTGATATTTGGAAACAAAAACAAATAGCCGTGGAAATCCACCAAAGCCTAGAATTGAATGAAGCCCAGTTGGGTTAAGGGAGGCCATTGCTTACGATTTGGGGAAACAACTGAGATGCCAATATTTTGGAGACATTTTACTAATGGAAACCAATGTGCTCTGTCTGCTCCTCTCCTGGCAAACGACTTGACCCACTAGTTTTTTAACATAAAAAACAAATCACCTTACCCTTCTGTGAGAGCCCGAGCTTTCTCCAAGTCTTGAATTACATTCAGAAGGACTTTAATTTTCTCTTGGTTCGAGTGCAGGGACTCCTCCACGGACTGCAGCCGGCCTTGGAGGTCGCAGAGCTCGCCCCGGGCCAGGTGGATCTGGTTAAGCTCCCTGTTGCTCTGAAGTTTGGTCTCCCTCCTTGGACGAGAGGACGGGAGGTGATCGTTTCCTGGACAGTTTCGAAACTCCAGCGTGTCCGACTGGGTGGGGTTCCTTGCGGTCCGCTCCTGACACGCAGGGGCAGGTCTGGATGGGTGGTTAGGTTTGGGTGGCGGCGGGTCCTGGTGATGGCTGCTCCATGACGAACAGTCCGAAGCCCCTCCTGGATGGGCTGGCTGTCCGTGGGAGCCTGGCGAGGGGGAGCTGTGAGTCCGTGGAGGCGAGGGGACACAGGCTTCCTTTGACAGCGATGACAGTGGGCCAAAGTCTGTGTCACCAGAGTTGTCTTTGGGCAAAAGCAATTCAGGTTTAAGTTTCCCTGTGCCTGGCATGGGGTTGGCACCGCTGGTGGCGTTCCAGCAGGAGGGGGGTCTCTCTGAATCTGACGGCAGCACTCTTCGTCCATCACCTGGACACGGGTCCACCAATGGGTGGACGGAGTTGCTTATCTCCGCGGACCTGTCTTGACTGAGAGCGGGCTCCCCAGTCGCCCAGGCCGGGCTGTGATAGATATCCTCTGGGACCTGAATGGCAGCAGTTGCTTTCTCTGAGGCTCTCCCAGCTCCTGCTTCCAGGCATATGCTCACCGGCCCGTTGCTCTGCATCTTGGACATTCGAGGGAGAAACGGGTGGGACACCTGGACCCTTCGAGGCCCGTCCTCCAGATGCTGAGCCAGCCGCAAGCAGGCGAGGTCGGAAGCCACCGCGTCCTGTTCCGAGAGGTTGCCGTTGACCTGGATGGCACTTTGGAATGCTGCTGGCATTTCCACCAGGGACTTACTGGCTGTGAGTCTCTTCCTCTTGAAGATCGGGAAATGCTTCCTGAGACTGGGGGAGGTTTGGATCGCCATGTTCCGGAGGCCCCCTGCCTTCTGGGACCTGGGGAAGGAAAGGGAGTAGGCGGGGAGGGGGTGGTGTCTGGGGGCTTGGGTCTTGCCCATCACAGCCGGGTCCTCGGTCGTGTGGACGTCGACCCCAGCCAGGCCGGGCGGGGGCTTGCCGGTCCCATCTTCCTTGAACCGCACCTGCTGAGACTTGCTGCGGCGGTGGTGCGGCTGCTTCGCCAACGCCACCGACTCCAGGCTGTTCCGCTTCAGAAGCACCGGGCGCATTTTCGTATTTTGCTGGGCCATGGAGCCTCAGTTGGCAGGATTGGGACCATACACGTGTCCTGGGCACATGTCCTTAGGTCTTGGGAGCAGCCTCCGGTGCTGGCATCTCTGACACAGACACCTGCCAGCCGAGATGGAGCGGCCCTTTCCTCGGCGCCGAGGAGGCCGTGTGGGCCATCCCCAGCCCGCGGCTTCCACCTGGGAGCTATCCGCAATGCTTCCCCTGCAGTTACAATATTATTTCATTGCGGCGATAATTGCCACTTAGATAAACAATGAGTTAGGCTAATTATTAAACATCCGATCTACCAAGAGAGCTGGTGGGCTGTTTATCAAAGAGAGGCTGGCAGGCGGCTCCGAGCCTGGGAAAAGCTTGCCGCCTTGAACAAAAAGACAACAAAAGTACCATTTAGGGGATAGCGCCAGACTCCCGATGTGTGAATTCCAAAGGAGACCTGCTATGTCTGGAACAGGCGGCTTCCCTTCCCGGAGCATCCGTTTCCAGTGTAAAACTACGGGGCACTTACACACATCTTCTGGCCAGGGCATGTAAGCAGGCGGCGAAATCAGGGGCCTGGGGGTCAGCTTCTTTGATGACCCATGATGCTCCTAAGGGAGCCGCCCCGTTTCTGTCAATCACAGATCCCACCCTCAGAGCCATTGTGTCCTTTCATACTCTGCCCCTTTCCTGCAGCCTGGGACACGTATCTTCCTAAACAGCCTCACGAAACCCGGTGGGGTGTGACCAGGACAGGTGTGAGGCATCTGAAGCCATGCAGAGCGCAGAGTCCCTGTCGTGGTTCACACGCGGCTCAAGTTCATAGGTGGGCAAGTGATCCGTGGCTGTAGCCTCTGGGAATCTCAGCTGAGAAAGGCTGGCCCTTGGCCCCGGGGACTGGGGGTCTGAGGCTTGGCTGTCGTTGCCAGCGGGCAAGGAGAATCTGAAAGGGAAGAGACAACAACTGAGAATGCAGTTCCTGAGGACCTGGGATTCTCTCCAAATTCCACCCACCCAGCAGGTGCTGCTGAGTGGAGGGTCTAGGAGCAAGTCAGACACGCTGTCCTTCCTTCTGTTCCCCTGTCACCTTGTGACTGCAGGGCCTCGGCACTAAATGCCCATCTGCCCGAGTCATTTCCTCCTTCACTCCTGGGCATCACCAGCCAACTCCTATTCATCCCTGAAGTCCCAGCTTGAATGTTACTTCCTCGGGGAGCCTTCCCAATGATTCCTCCCTCATGTACACCTCCAGTGCTAGACCATTACACCTTCCCATCACATACTTCATAACACCTATTGCAGCTGTCCTTAAATAATCATTTGTGTGTAATCATTTGATGTGCGTATTCATTTGATGTGCTGCTCCCCTGTAAGCTCCAGGATGGCAGGGCCAGAGCCCTCTTGGGTATTCCCAGCCCTCCTTGGGCTCATTGTGGGTGCTTCATGGGTGTGTGTTCATAGAGTGGATGGCTGGATGAAGGTGCTTTGGAAGCAAAGGAGAACCCGGGCAGCGGGGTGCTAGGATCCCCTGCCAGGGCAACAGGACAGTGAGCTCTCTCTGCTATGACTATAGCATTTACTTGGGGACAAGATCTTCCCTAATGTCTTCATTTTTTAAATTGCTTTCCAGGAGATAAATGTGCATAAAATTCTCTTTGGGAAGTGTGCCTTGTAACAATAACAGTTGCCATTTATTGAACACTTATTTTTACCGTGCTGAGGGCTTTCCGTGCATTAATCATAACAACTCATTTACTGAGAACTCACTAATGTGCCCGGTGCTGCTCTAAGCTGGAACTCATTCATTCCCTACCCTATAGAGGTGGAAACTATCATTATCTGTCATCATCCCCCTCTTACAGTTGGAGAAACTGAGGCCCAGAAAGGTTAAGTAACTTGCCCAAGGACATGCAGCTAGTGGTAGAGTCAAGATCTGAACTTGTACAGTCTGGTACCCCAGTCTGGGCTCTTAACCTCTACACTTCATTGCCTTTTCATTATTGCATTATCTCACTTAATCCTTACAACAAAACCTTTCGGGTGTCAGGATTCTTATTGAACTGATGGGGAAACTGAGGCTCAGAGAGAATAAGTACTCAGCGGAGGAACTGAAATATGAACCCAGATATCTGGGACTCCAAAGCTTGGGTTCTTAGACATGAATTGATGACTTTGTCCCCTTGGGATCTGCACTGAGTGCAGACAGATGATATCAGTGATTTGAGAAATGAGGTGGAAGGCCCCTGCAGGCCTAGAGATATGCAAGGGACCATCCTCTACATGGCAAAGTGAACCTACTCGCTACAAGTTCAAGAGAGCACACTGAGCCTCTCTGAGCCTCAGTTTTCCCATCAGTTCAGTAAGAATCCTGACATCTGAAAGGTTTTGTTGTAAGGATCAAGTTAGATAATGCAATAATGAAAAGGCAATGAAGTGTAAAGGTTAAGAGCCCAGACTGGGGTACCAGACTGTACAAGTTCAGATCTTGACTCTACCACTAGCTGCATGTCCTTGGGCAAGTTACTTAACCTTTCTGGGCCTCAGTTTCTCCAACTGTAAAAGGGGGATGATGACAGATAAATGAATGTCATAAAATAGCACACATTCTGTGTATGGTTCTCAGCCTTAGAGTCTTCTTCTTTCTCCAGGGATTACTAGGTAATGACCAGGGCAATTTCAGCTTTCCCTGCTCCCGGGTCCCTTGAGAAGGACCAACTAACCCAGCGAGGTGGGGCAGTGAGTGGCCTGTCCTGAAAGAGAACAGGATCCATCTCTAATGCAAATGACTTGTCAGCTTGTCATGAGGCCCTGCTACTCCTCTTGTGCTGCAGAGCCTAGATATTTATTTGTCTACTTTTGTGGATTTATTTAGGTAATTGTCCTCCACCTTTTCCCTCTCCCTACCTGTTCATTAGTGTTTTGTACTGGTAAAGTTAACTCACTTCGACTACAGTGGTCTGAAGCTGGTTTTCATAAGCTAATGTTTAGTGAACATTGGTTATGTGCTAGGCATTGTGATAGCTGTTTTTCATTTACTTTCTTCTTTAATCCTTGTGACAATCACAGAGGCAGGTACTATCAGCATCTCTTTTTTATAAATCAGGAAACTGAGGCACAGGAGGTTAAAGTAATTTGCCCCAAGTCATTCACCTGGTAAGTGCCAGAGCTGACATTTGAACTCGAGGAATGACCCTGTGCCCAGGCTCCTGACCACTGCACTTCCTGCCTCCTCCAGGCCTGGAAAGGGACTTCTGGTGCAAAGCTGTCAGGCAGGTTTCAAAGTCCCTCCCCACTTTCCTTCTGAAA